GAGAAGTCTGGCTGTCCTCAACCAGGGCCAGGGCGTTCTCAGCCCTCTCCCCCACCTGGTGGAACGCTCTGTGGGAAGACATCCGTGCCCTGCAGGAGTTATTACCTTTCCACATGGCATGTAAGGCCTTTTGTTGAGGACAGCGACGAGGAACCCTTTGGCACTCTCATACGTTTCCCCATCTCTCATAATCCCTCCCTCTAGGGAGGCTGGGGAGCTGGAAATTCCCCCCCCCATCCTTTCTATTGTATGCAATGTTCCCTCTAAGCCCGTTGTTGTGAACCTATGGCACGAGTGCCAGAGGTGGCACTCAGAGCCCTCTCTGTGGGCACGCGTGCCATCGCCCCAGCCAAGCCCAGACCATCATTAAAGTGTCGAATTCTCTGCCAAATAATTTTAAGTAAATGAAAGCATTTGGGATTGCTTTCCTTACTTTGTTTGGATCATCTTAAGTTAATGTATGAGTTGTTTTTTTCTAAAGTAAAACCTCAGTATTCAGGTTAAATTGCCGTGTTGGCACTTTGTGATAAATAAGTGGGTTTAGGGTCGCAGTTTGGGCAATTGATCTCTAAAAGGTTTGCCATCACTGCTCACTGTGGAGTCCTGTGAGCAAAAATTTTACTTGGTGAGCTACTGGCATCAAAGTTGTGAGTGAGCTATTTGGCTGCTGCATAAATCAGTTTGCTCTGGAGCCACCCTTCCTGAGCTGAGACAAAGATGTGTGAGCCGGAGGCTAAAAAACTGTGAGTGGGCTCACACTAACTCAGCTTAGAGGGAACACTGAATATTGCTTTTATCCACTAGTATTTATTGGTCCGTTTTAACTTAGTCTTTAAAATTGAGATTTTTGTATATTGTTTTGTTGTAAGCCGCCCTGAGCCCTACTTTTAGGGAAGGGTGGCCTTACAGTGTTCCCTCTAAGCTGAGTCAGTGTGAGCTAGCTCACAGTTTTTTAGCCTCTGGCTCACACATTTTTGTCTTGGCTCAGGAAAGAGGGCTCCAGAGCAAACTAATTTATGTGGTAGCCAAATCACTGGCTCACAACTTTAATGCCAGTCACTCACAGAGTAGAATTTGTGCTCACAAGACTCCACAACTTAGAAAGGAGCGTTGGTGGCCTAGTAAATCCAAATAAATAAATAAATAAATGTGATCCCACTTGCACTGTGGGCCTTCAGGGAGCCATCGCCCGGGGGCGGCGACTGTATGCCCTGATCCATCTTCTGTCTGCTTTAATGCCCTTCTTTTTACTTCCCTGTTCTCTCTCAACTCCCGGCGTGTATCTTACGTATCGAATGAATCAAACGGTTAGCTTTGTAGATCTTTACCCAAGAGACAGCTTGCTCCAGTGACTGATCAAAGGGGGATTTTACTAGAAAGAAATGGATCGGCAAACATTGCCAGCAGTATAAATGCAAGACAGTGTGTGTATGTGGTGGTGATGGGGGGTGATGCCAGTTTCAAATACACGGAACATCCCATTTTTGCACAGGGTCTACCACTACCACCCGGACTACCTCACCAGTTCCGCAGAATATAAATCTAGCCATAAGGGAAGCCGCCATGAGGGCCCCGGAAATAACTGATGTCTGTTGTGGCGCAACGCCAGGCATTCACATCTGATATGTCTCCCGAAGCCTGAGCAAATGTGAGAAGTTAAATCCTGGGCAAAAAGCTCTGCCAAGCAAAGACAGTGCCAAATTGGCTCCAACGTCACCCTGAGCTTCCTCCGCGTCCATCACGGAGCGGGAGTTTCAGATCTGAACGGCCCGCGGTCTTCAGACGGGTCCGTGACAGGGTCAGCTTCTGTAGACCAGAGGGCATTTACGGTGCCTCCTTCTTGGGATATTTTGCAAGAAGCAAAGGTCATCTTTCCTAGCAGCCTTTTGAGAGAGAGAGAAAATTCCTCGCTTCTCTACAGATCAATCGACGCAGCTCAAAACTGAGGCAGCTGGAAGGGTCTTATAAGGCAACAGGAACAGATCTCTCAAACAATTAATCACTGCAGGGGAAGGCAACAATGAACGCGAGGAATTTCCCGTGTCATTTTCAAAGATAGTTGAGAAGTGACATGGCACATTTATTGTCAAACATAGATATGTCGTTTTCATGAGGACACACTTTTCCGATCCTTTAGTTTGCAGATCGGCTCAGACTCAATCACTGGTGTACACTGATCTCCATTGGTATATATCTAATTCTCAAGGTGGCCAAATCCGTGTATACTTAAACCTAGAGAATGGTTTACTATGTTTAGGCTTGAAAGCTAACTGTGTCAAAATGTGAAAGAAAATTCAAAGGGACTAGAATGCTAACATGGAGGAAATATATACTTCAACTAGAAATGTCAACTACTCAGATATATCTGTTCCTTTCCATCTTTATTTTTTCTCTTGTATAGAAAATAGATAAATATTAGTATATTATAGATAAAATGAAATATAGCAGATAGGATATAGCTAATTTAGTTATCGGGAATAGAATTTTGGTTTAAAGGTATATGTAATGAAATACAACCAAAGTAAGGGGGGAAATGGTAATCTGCGTATAAAAATGATGTTGTGAGCGAGATCTTTGGCTAGATATGTTAAAATGCAGTGCTCTTTCTTTTTTTTCTTTTCTGTAATATCTAAAAAACTAATAAATTTTGCCCACACGTGGGCAATTAAAAAAACAAAAACAAACCTAGAGAATGGAACCATGAACAGACAAAACTGATCTTTCTACAAACCCGGAGGATGCCCCAGGTTTTCAGGAAAAAATCTGAAATCTTTAAATAAATAAATAAATGCATACATACATAAATAAATAGGGGTTAAACCCACAACTAATAAAAACAGTGCCTGTAGCTTTAAGAAACAAATGCCCTCAGTAGCCATCGCTAGGCAACCACACTGTACAGCCAGCCCTCAAGGCTTGCTTTATGTCAGTAATAGTCAGGGGGAGATGATACAGTGAAAATGAGATGTTCCCTGCAAGTCCCTGTGGGTCTCCTGCTTTTTCTCGTATGAGCGTTGATGCTCCTGGAATTGTTATTTCCAGGAGGGGAGATATTGTTTCAGATGCAGGGGAGAAGTAGCAATTATATCTCATCTGTGCGGCTGATCAATGCACATTTTCATATTTCCGATAAGCATCAATCACTCTGGTGACTTTAGGGGACATTTGAAACGTGTTTGCAAGGAAGGGGAGACGTCTGTGAAATAAAGAGTAATTTCTGAGGTTATTTTTAAATTTGTTTAAATCTAGGTGACAGGACTGGGGGGAAAAGAGTGTGTGAAAGGCAGTATTATTCACCAAGTTTCCTACCTCGCCAAATCTGATTTGATGTGTGGGCTTATGGGATGATAATCACATTCTCTATGTGACCCCTAACTGGCTAGGACTGCATTCTAGCAAAACCCTTTAAGTAGAGAGCTAGTTTGGTGTAGTGGTTAGGAGCGTGGACTGTACTCTGGGAGAGCCCGGTTTGATTCCCCACTCCTCCACATGCAGCTGCTAGTGTGACTTTGGGTCAGTCACAAGTTCTTTCAGAGCTGTTCTCTCATGAGCAGTCCCTGAAAGAGCTCTCTCAGCCCCACCTCCCTCACAGGGCGTCTGCTGTGGGGAGGGAAAGGAGTTTGCAAGCCGCTCTGAGACTCCTTCAGGTCATGTGCCCGCCCTCTGGGCTCCTTACTGCCGGAGCTCTGCTCCTGTGCGCTCCCGCAGGAAATAACCCCTGTCATCGTGATGTCATCGACATGGCGATGTCACTTCCGGTGTGCACCAGAAGTGACATCACCACACCGCCGGCGATGTAGCCTGGGCCTCCCTCCCTCTCCTGGTAAGTCCCCCTGCCAGCCAGCTGATTGGTGGCGGGGGGCAGGGTCTGGTGGCGGGAGATTCCCCCACCTCCATCAGGGGGCGGGCAACAATGCTCCCTCTAAGCCGTGGAGTCTTATGAATGAAAATTCTACTGTGTGGGCTACTGGCATTAAAGTGGTGAGCGAGCGATTTGCCTACTGCATAAAGTAGTTTGCTCCGGAGCCCTCCTTCCTGATCCAAGACAAAAATGTGTGTGAGCCGGAGGCTAAAAAAACCTGAGCTAGCTCACACTAACGCAGCCTAGAGGGAACACTGGCTGGCAACACTAGGAAGAGGCAGGTTTGGAGGAACACTAAATCACGACAGTCCCAGCTTCAGTCAACAGATACAGGCCAAAACGCACCTTTAACACCATATCATTTGCTTGGGCCAACTAGATCCTTAGGGTATAGGTTGCCAAGATGTAAAGACCCTCCCCAAAAAAATAAGGTGGGGAGAAGATTCCACGGGTTGATGCCTACCTACTGTCTCTCCCTGCTCATACACCATGGAGGCCAGGTCCTTGATGATTTGGTTAACATCCAACATGTCACTCTGGAAAAGAAAATGAGAAGATAAAAGAGAAAATGAGGCTCTGGTACAATCCGAGTGCCAAACAGATATTTCAACAGCGCTGAGGAAACCTCTGGTTACATGAGGGCTGCCAGTTTGGTGTAGTGGTTAAGTGTGCAGGCGCTAATCTGGGAGAACCGGGTGTGATTCCCCACTCCTCCTCCACATGCAGCCAGCTGGGTGACCTTGGGTCAGTCACAAGTTCTCTCAGAGCTGTTCTCTCAAGAGCAGTCCTCGAAAGAGCTCTCTCCGCCCCACCTACCTCACAGGGTGCCTGTTGTGGGGAAGGGAAGGGAAAGGAGATGGTAAGTCGCTCTGAGACTCCGAGTGAAGGGCGGGATATACATCCAATCTCTTCCTCTTCTTCTACCTGGCAGCCGGCAGGAGGATCCTGGCTGCCAGGTAGGAGAAATAAACTTTTGTTCAGTTGTAATCCCAGGAGATCTCCAGCCACAACCTGGAAGTTGATGACTCTGTTTCGATGCCATCTTTTCACCACACTCATGGTCCCCAAGGCACCAAAAATTTAAAAAAATCTCAAACATTAAAAATAAAAAATATATATTTGTGTAGTGTTCAAATATTTAAAACGAATAAAACATAATGAACACATACAAATATAAATATACATGGAAAGGGAGGAGTTAGTCAGGCGATGCCAAGCAAACAATAAGAAGTTTCCACCCCCTGGTGGTAATAAGGTTGCCAATCTCCAGGCAGGGCCTGGAGACCTCCCGGAATCACATCATTATATCGCTTTTTTAAAAAAACAAACAAACAATTTTTATTAGGATACAACAATAAGTCAAACTATACATCATCTTATCTACTATCTTATACCCTTTTCTCCTAGTACCTCCCTTCTGACTTCCCGCAGTGCTCCAAGCTCTAGTCCAAATCTTATATTTTCCCTCTTTTTCCCATTCTTCAATATTAAAGTTCTTCAGGTAACCTATCTTTTAACGATTGTTCTTATATGTTTAAACTTACTCTAAATGTCCTTCTATCTTTAGTAGTTATCATAGCAAAATAGATTATTTTTCACATCCCAGTATTTCTCTAAATATTCTTTAAAGTCTTTCCAGTCTGCAAAGAATTCTTCTGCTTCCTGATTCTTAAGCTTTCTTGTCATTTTGTCCATTTCCACCATAAAGAGTAACTTTTTTATCCACTCTCAAATCCCGGGAGTTCTTTCTTGTTTCCAGCATTGAGCATATGTCATTCTAGCAGTTGTAATCATATACCACATCAAAGTCCGTTTTGCAATATTGACTTCTTTCATTTTAAGTCCCAATAGTAGCATTTCAGGCTCGTTCTTAATTTTACCTTTCATAATTTTCTCCATCTCTATATGGACCTCAGTCCAAAAGTTTTTTGCTTTGTCACAAGTCCACCACATATGGTATAAAGAACCCTCTTATTCTTTTACATTTCCAACATTTGTTTGACATATTACTGCTTATATTTGATATCTTTTTTGGTGTCATATACCATCTATACATCATTTTATAGCAGTTTTCTTTTAAATTATTACATGTTGAAATTTTCAACATGTAATAATTTAAAAGATATATCGCTTTTTATCTTGTTAGCCTCCTCTTGCAGGCCTCCGGAGAGGTGGGATATACATATTCCAACTCAAGCAATCCCTAGTGTGGAATCCGCACGCCCGTGCTGGATATGGCAAATGGTGCATCCTGACAAAATAATTTTCTATATTCCTGAATTGGCTTCTCGTGGCGCTTCCCTAGAAAAGACTCGTTTTCCCAGACTGGTTATCAAAGTTTCCCCAGAGCACAATTTGCTTGTGTATTAAACAGGGTAACACCCATTTCATTTTTAACGGTCGGGGCTGTTTGGGATTGGAACCTGTGGCGCCTGCACGCCTGGATCACTCCCATCCTGCCGTTTGGACAGCCAGACTCTCTCCTGTGATGAATTCATAAGAGGTGCCAAGTGAATCTATGCGCTTTCGGGGAGAGTTCATTATGCGGCTGTGAATACTCCGGTACTTAATTATGTAATGCAGTAAGAATCTCATTAATTTGTAATAAAGCCGGAGAGAGCCATTGTGAATTACTGAATATGCTCAGCCAGTGAACAGATCTAGGAAAGAAAGGGGAATGGGGGGGAAGAAATGCAAGGAATAAGGAAGGAGGAAGAAAAAGAAGCGAACAAAGCGATGCAGAACATCCCATAAATATAGCCGACTCCTTTTGTCTCCGAGAGGCTCAACTTTTAATTATTTATGCTAATATTCATAACCGCTGACTGGGGAACAAAAGTTCTGGTGACACTAATAAAAGAGTATCAAATCATGGCCTGGTGGAAGTTACACCATTTTGAGAGGCACGGACTAGATAGATGAAGTTACCTTTCTCATTAAACCAAGTATTGCAGAATATCTCTAAGTTTTGTTTCTGAGCATAGGTGGTCAGAATGACATTGTATGTATATGGTACCCCATACTAGTACATCTATCTACCGAAGAAACAGTACCTGATGTAATAAACACTCTGCGTCTATGGTAATTTTCAAACTGTATAATACCGACAAATTGTACGAAATGTATGAAGCCATTGAGAGCCGCCTATGCTCATGCTTACCTTGTATATCTTTGCTGTTTATAAAAATGAATAAAAATTATCTGTTAAAAAAAACCCCAAGGATTGTTGCCTTTGACTAACAGCTGCATTCCACAATATATCTGAGCCCTGCTGGGTAGGGACCCTGGAGACAGTTTGGTGTAGTAGTTAAGTGCGCAGACTCTAATCTGGGAGAACCGGGTTTGATTCCCCACTCCTCCACTTGCACCTGGCTGAATGACCTTGGGCAAGCCGTAGTTCTCTCAGAGATGTTCTTTCAGCCCCACCTACCGCACAGGGCGTCTGCTGTGGGGAGGCGAAGGGAAAGGAATTTGTAAGCCGCTCTGAGACTCCTTCGGGTAGTGAAGGGCGGGGTAGAAATCAAACCTCTTTTCTTCTTCTTCTCTGTTCCTTGATGGACTCCCATCGACGTACTGACTAGGACCAGTAGAGGTCCACCAGTGGCTATTAGCCACAAGGTATAGATAGGAATTCTCGGTCTGGGGCAAGGGATGCTCTGTATTCTTGGTGCTTGGGGGGGGAGCAACAGTGGGAGGGCTTCTAGTGTCCTGGCCCCACTGGTGGACCTCCTGGTGGCAACGGGTATTTTTGGCCACTGTGTGACACAGAGAGTGTTGGACTGGATGGGTCATTGGCCTGATCCAACACTGGCTTCTCTTATGTTCTTATAAGAGGGAATTGGATAAGCATATGGAGCAGAGGTCCATGAGTGGCTATTAGCCACAAGGTACAGATAGGAACTCTCAGTCTGGGGCAAGTGATGCTCTGTATTCTTGGTGCTGGGGGGGGACGACAACAGTGGGAGGGCTTCTAGTGTCCCGGCCCCACTGCTGGACCTCCTGATGGCACCTGGTATTTTTGGCCACTGTGTGACAGAGTGTTTGGACTGGATGAGCCATTGGCCTGACACAGCATTGGCTTCTCTTATGTTGTCATGTTCTTATAGGTCCAGGGCTCTTTTTGTAGCAGGAACTCCTCTGCATATTAGGCGACACGCCCCTAATGTAGCCAATCCTCCAAGAGCTTACAGAGCTCTTCTTATAGGGGCTACTGTAAGCTCTTGGAGGATTGGCTACATTAGGGGTGTGTCACCTAATATGCAAAGGAGTTCCTGCTACAAAAAGAACCCTGATTATGACCAAACGTGTCTCGTTTCCGAGATTTGACGACATCGGGCTGGCCTGGACCTGGAGGGCATATTGAAGGACACTGAAGCTGGTCAAGAGAGTCAGCTAAAAAGGATGCTGGAAAAAACAAGGCTCCTGGAAAGTTATGAATAGTTTGGCCTCTGCCCTAGAGCAGAAAAGATCCCATGCATTGCTGTGCTTATCGTTTCAAACTAGGATCGGAGACTCCCTCGCTTCAGTCCCTGGTTATCCATGAAACTCACTGGGTGACCTGTAGCCAGACACAGTCCTGTTTAGCTTTGCATATGTCACAGCACTGTGGTGATGAAAAACAACAACAATGGAATGGACAGAACAACAGAGGAAGAGGAGGAGGAGGAGGAGATTGGATTGATATCCCTCCTTTCACTCGGTCTCCGAGCGCCTTACAATCGCCTTCCCTTCCCCTACCCACAACAGACACCCTGTGAGGTAGGTGGGGCTGAGAGAGCTCTTTCGAGGACTGATCCTGAGAGAACAGCTGTGAAATGACTTGTGACTGACCCAGGGTCACCTGCATGGTGAGGAGTGGGGAATCAAACCCACTTCACCCAGATTAGAGTCCATGCTCTTAGCCACTATAGCCAACAGTAGTGAGGCCCCTGGAAGAAGGAGGAGGAGGAGGAGGAGGAGGAGATTGGATTTATACTCAGAGTCTTAGAGCAGCTTATAAACTCCTTTCCCTTCCCCTCCCCACAACAGACACCCTGTGAGGTAGGCGGGGCTGAGAGAGCTCTGACAGAAAGTGCTCTTTTTCAAGAACAGCTGTGTCAGAACTATGGCTTGCCCAAGGTCACGCCAGCAGCTGCAAGTGGATGTGGAGTGGGGAATCAAACCCAGTTCTCCCAGATTAGAGTCTGCGCACTTAACCGCTACACCAAACTGGCTGGGTTTTGTTTGTTTGTTTGTTTTAAAGTAGAACTGCAACAAGATTCTGAGCGCCTCGAACTTGAGTTCCCTCTTCCCAAGAGTTTTGCAAAAGACAACCCTGTCAAAGGATTGGAAGTTCAGTGTCAAAAACACCTCCTTTGTTAAAGAAAAGAAAGAAAGAAAAAAACCCATCCATTTTGAAGAGGTAAATCTGAAATATGGATTCAGTTCTGTATAGGCCTGTGAGTTTGATGCTAGCGCTTTGGAACTTTTTAATCATGTCCCCGTTCCAAAGAAAGGGCAGTAAACTGGCTCCGTTGTTAATGACACGTTTATTGAT